GGAGGAAGAAGGAGGAGGAGGAGGAGGAGGAGGAGGAGAAGGAGGAAGGGGAAAGGGGAAAGGGAAGGGGAGGATTGTGGGGCCCTTAGTACTCTCTGAGCTTGGTGGGTTTTCTCACAGACATTTCATGACCCTACTAAGTAACGTCATCAGCATTAGAAGAGATTGGGGTTTGTGGGGAGGAGGAGGAGGGATTGTGGGGCCCTTAGTGCTCTCTGAGCTTGGTGGATTTTCTCTGCCCTTTTTCATTTTATTTTTTAAGGAAATACAAGACCATGTTCTGTCCAAGTTAAAAGCTGTGGAAGCTATTCAGGAAAAGAATACTTCTCTGCAAGAAGAAATCACTTCTCTGAGAAATACACTTGGATATATGAAAGGGTAGGTTATTCATTTCACTTGAAACTCTCCACTTACTTGCTACGTTAGGTAACCTTGGTTTCCCTGAGTAACAATAACATAGCATCTGTAGACATAAGCAGCAAGTACGATGGATTAGGCAAAAAAACACTGAGTTATCTTCCACGTTCCATAATTGGAAAATTAACAGCTGCTAAGTAGAGCAGGGTAAAGCTTTTAGACTCCTTGGGATCCTCAGATAGTCCTCAACTTATAACAGTTCATTTAGTGACCATTTGAAGTTACAATAGCCCTGAAAAAAGGGCCTTATGACCATTTTTCCACACACAATAGGTCATTCTAGCAGTTACATAGAGCTGTGAGAGTTGGACCATCAGAAAGGCTGAACACTACTACTTCTTCTTCCTCCTGCTCTTCTTCTTCTTCTTCCTCCTCCCTCTTCCTCCTCCTCTCCTGCCCCTGTTCCTCCTCCTGCTCTTCTTCTTCCTCCTCCTGCTCTTCTCCTTCTTCCTCCCCTCTCCTCCTCCTCCTCCTCCTCTTCTTCTTCTTCCTCCTCCCTCTTCCTCCTCCTCTCCTGCCCGTTCCTCCTGCTGCTGTTCTTCTTCCTCCTGCTGCTGCTCTTCTTCTTCTTCCTCCCCCCTCCTCCTCCTCCTCATCTTCTTCTTCCTCCTCCTCCTCCTCTTCCTCTTCTTCTTCCTCCTCCTCTCTTCCTCCTCCTCCTCCTCTTCTTCTTCTTCTTCTTCTTCTTCTTCTTCTTCTTCTTCTTCTTC